TTCAATAAAGAAATGCTGTTGTTATCCACTGACTACCAAAGCAGTGCCCAAATATTTCAAATTCAAAGGATGTGGTATCTAGAAGTTACCCTATTAAAAAAAAAATCTGATTTTGCTTGGCCAGTCTCACCTCATTGTAGCAGTTACTGTGTTCTTTAGCTCTAGGCTCCATGGAGATTGCTCTGGAAAGGATCCGGTTCCACCTGTTTTGCCAAAATAATGTATATGTGACCATATTAAAAAAAATAAAATTGTCAGTCTGAAAAGTGTGGGAGATCAGAGAGAACATTTACATGAAATGTCTGCCTCTCCAGGCTTTTATGTTAAGGTTTAGGGGGATGTGCTGCTGCTGCTTAAAAAGAAGGTGGGATTAATTTTTATTGTACAAAAATAACTCCCAAGAATTGTGGATTAATACTCGCAAGGAGCAGGAGAAGTGAAGTGCAATGATGAGGTCTTTAGCAGTCCTTTGAACATTCTGCAGAAAACATGGAAAATGAAACTAGCTGAAGTGGTATTGGTGAAATAGCACTCACTCACACAAAGCGGGTTACAGAGGGTAAAGAAACCTTTCTCAGTTACCCTCTGTCCAGCACATTTACAGGCAACTACAGTAATTCCTGCAGCCACCTCGGGTGTAATTACTATGCACAGGTTATTTTTACAGTCCTCTCCGTGCAACGATTGTAAAACACCATATGTGTTTGACTGTCTCTTTAAGACTTTGGCATAGTGTTTTGGCATACTTAGGTTCTACCCTGTTCTTGTAAGTGTTGCTTATTGCTATGGCAACACTAATCAATCATCGTGCTAAAAATAGGCCTTTCATTTTTCAAGAGGTTATCTGTAGTGAATTGAAAATGCAACTGCGGTCTGTGTTTTCCACATGCTGCTTTCATTTCACTGTATTTTAATCTGGAAATACCCATGCTTTTATGTGTGGTAATTACTATTCCAGACTCCAGTTACTTCACTGGTTACTCTCTTGAGCTTTAAACCTCTCCTGGTTCTTCCAAAAGGCATGCCAAATATAGAAAGTTTAAAAAAACAAACAAACAAAAACCTCAAATATTCTCCTTGTTTTGGAGTGTCACGGGTGTACCAGATTATAACAAATTTTTAAGGAGTTTATAACACGCCTAAAAAAATCTGGAGGTGGCAATATAAAAGGTGCCTCCTTTGAGAGCTGTACACAAAGAAACCTTATTATTGACGACACCAGGACTCTGAAGACTTTGGCCTATTATGTAGAATTGGAGTCTAATTTCAAGTTAAAGACTCAATTTGCCACTATTTTTTTCAAAGAGGAACCTTGCAAGCTGTAGTGATAGTGAAATGGAAAATTGGAAACGGTGCCCTGT